TTCTCTATTGTGGTATTCATCGGTTGGGGTTGTTGCTGTTCTTTTTCCATGTTTTTGAAGTGGTGTGTTGATTTCAGAATTCACAATAAATTTGTCAATTGGACCTTTTGCTTCTGATTTTGCCTTGATTTTTGTTTTATCTTTTTTGTTTTGTTTGTTTTGTTTCTTTTTCTGTAGTTCAGACTCAGTTTCTTTATTTGTGACTTCACTGATTTCTGTTGATGTTTCTGAAATGAAATTACACTTACATGATTAGTAAAGACATCTGCAAAAGGTCAGACAATTTAAAATTCTATTAGAGCAAAGAAGTCCTAAGAATTCAAGAAAAGAAGATAGGATATCTTTTTTACTTATATAAGAAAACAAATATGAATGTCTAAAGGACATACATTAGCCAAAAAATTATTTACCTATACAAGTAAATAAAAAACACTTGTATAAGTATCCTACAAATTTACTTATATAAGTATATTAATATTCGTTCTTCAAGTAAATAAAAATTACTTGAACAAGTAGTACCCTGACTGTCATTGTGTTCCAATATTGCTATCATTTGTATTATATAATCCATCCTTACATACAGCCCTTGGATGGTGTAAACTTCCCAAAATAACGTGTATGGTGTAATGGTGTATGGCATATGGTGCAATGGTAGAAGGTGTATGGTGCTATGGTGTATGGTGTAAGGGGAATGGTGTAATGGTGTATGAGGAATGGTGTGATTGTGTAACGTGCGATCGGGAATGGTGTGAATGAATGGTGTACGACATTTCATTGGTTTAAACCGAAGTTCATTTTATTTTAATTTTTCGGATTGTAAACATAAACAATAATAGTAATCCTATTGTTCTTTTTTCCCAGTAAAGCAAATAACTTTACTCGTCAGACTCTATGTCATATATATTTAATATACACATATTACAATTTTTTTTTTTTTCATATTCTTATTTACATTAAACAATGGCTTTAAAATTACACACTTGTGATCACATGCAGTTATCATAAAAGAAAGGATTTTATTTAAACTAGAAGGCGGATAGAAAGGTTATCCACGCATCGGAACACTATTTTTATATCACGGGTTATCAACATCATTTTTAAAGTTGCTTCGTTCCCCACTTTTGACAGTCTCTTTATAAATATCTTATCGTCATTCACCTATGTTTGCCTTGGATTTACGATTCTGTTTTCCAAAAAATGTTCAAAGGAAAATTGTACAGTGTTATTGCACATAAGGTGTTGTATAATTATGAACAATCTCGTCAATTTCGTTAGATTTGTCTTTACGGATTATAAATGATATCTTGAACGTCCACAACTGGACGTTAAGCAACCAACAATCAATCAATCTTGAACGTCCGAACAAATATACTTATGTGAAACGGAATGAAATATTTACCACTTGATATTTAGCCACCAACAAAATCAACCAACCGACATAATATACTAACAGTATACTTTTCCTAGAAGAGAACTTCTCATACTTTTCATTATAAAGTACAAATGAAATCTGTCATGTCAGTCACACTGTTGGATGATGAGGTGGAATAGTTTTATTATACAAACCATCCTGAACTACTGAGTTTAAATCATCACACCTCAGCAAGCACGACTAATTTATGCGCAGACCAACCCATCACACAATAGCCCAAAAGGAATCTGATGTACCCGTCCATATTCAGAAATCATGGAAGTGGGAAATACAGATACTGATACTGACTTTAGTGACAGTTTTATATAACGAATACAGAGATGAAATGCTGGCACTCTAAATTAAAGCGGACAAGATTTTGTTATCATTGTATTGCAATGTTGCTGTCATTTGTATTATACAATCCATCCTGACATCAAAATATTGCTGATTTACTATGCGGCTGCCGCTATATAGATTTACATAATAAAGTGCAAATATGGTCAGTTTTGTTTGATACTTTAAAATAGTTTTGTTATACGAGTCAGCCTGAGGTATCAAAACTACTGAAATTTTCTTGAGAGACAATATTTTTAATAAAAAGAGGACATGCTGGCTATCTAGATTGATGGGGACAAATTTTTGTTGTCATTGTATTGCAATGTTGCTGTCATTTGTATTATACAAACCATCCTCACATCAAAATATTGCTGATTTACTTTGCGGCTATATGCTGATTTACTATGCGGCTATATAGATTTACATACATGACATAATAAAGTGCTAATATGATCAGTTTTGGCTGATGCTTTAAAATAATTTTGTTATACAAGTCAGCCTGAGGTATCAAAACTACTAAAATTTTCATGCGAGACAATATTTTGAATAAAAAGAGGACATGCTGGCTATCTACATGTAGATTGATGGGGACAAATTTTTGTTGTCATTGTGTTGCAATGTTGCTGTCATTCAATTTGTATAATGCAATCCATTCTGACATCAAAATATTGTTGTTTACTATACGGCTATATAGATTTACATAATAAAGTGCAAATATGGTCAGTTTTGGTTGATTCGTTTAAATAATTTTGTTATACGAGTCAGCCTGAGGTATCAAAACTACTGAAATTTTGTTGCGAGACAATATTTTGAATAAAAAGAGGACATGCTGGCTATTTAGATTGATGGGAACAAATTGTTGTTGTCATTGTATTGCAATGTTGCTGTCATTTGTATTATACACTCCATCCTGACATCAAAATATTGCTGATTTACTATGTGGCTATATAGATATACATAATAATGTGCAAATATGGTCAGTTTTTGTTGATGCGTTTAAATAATTTTGTTATACTAGTCAGCCTTAGGTATTAAAATTACTGAAATTTTGTTGCGAGACAATATTTTGATTAAAAAGAGGACATGCTGGCAATCTAAATTGATGGGGATAATTTTTGTTGTCATTGTGTTGCAATGTTGCTGTCATTTGTATTATACAATCCATTCTGACAATAAAATATAGCTGCTTTACTATGTGGCTATATAGATATACATAATATTAAAAGTGCAAATATGGTCAGTTTTGTTTGATGCTGTAAAATAATTTTGTTATACAAGTCAGCCTGAGGTATCAAAACTACTGAAATTTTCTTACGAGACAATATTTTGAATAAAAAGAGGACATGCTGGCTATCTAGATTGATGGGGACAAATTTTTGTTGTCATTGTATTGCAATGTTGCTGTCATTTGTATTATACAATCCATCCTGACATCAAAATATTGCTGATTTACTATGCGGCTATATAGATTTACATAATAAAGTGCAAATATGGTCAGTTTTGGTTGATACTTTAAAATAGTTTTGTTATATGAGTCAGCCTGAGGTATCAAAACTACTGAAATTTTCTTGTGACACAATATTTTGAATAAAAAGAGGACATGCTGGCAATCTAGATTGATGGGAACAAATTTTTGTTGTCATTGTGTTGCAATGATGCTGTCATTTGTATAATGCAATCCATTCTGACAACAAAATATTGCTGATTTACTATGCGGCTATATAGATTTACATAATAATAAAATGCAAATATGGTCAGTTTTGGTTGATTCGTTTAAATAATTATGTTATACGAGTCAGCCTGAGGTATCAAAACTACTGAAATTTTGTTGCGTGACAATATTTGAATAAAAAGAGGACATGCTGGCTATCTAGATTGATTGGAATAAATTTTTGTTGTCATTGTATTGCAATGTTGCTGTCATTTGTATTATACAATCCATCCTGACATCAAAATATTGCTGATTTACTATGTGGCTATATAGATATACATAATAATGTGCAAATATGGTCAGTTTTTGTTGATGCGTTTCAATAATTTTGTTATACTAGTCAGCCTTAGGTATCAAAATTACTGAAATTTTGTTGCGAGACAATATTTTGAATAAAAAGAGGACATGCTGGCAATCTAAATTGATGGGGATAATTTTTGACGTCATTGTGTTGCAATGTTGCTGTCATTTGTATTATACAATCCATTCTGACAATAAAATATAGCTGCTTTACTATGTGGCTATATAGATATACATAATATTAAAAGTGCAAATATGGTCAGTTTTGGTTGATGCTGTAAAATAATGTTGTTATACAAGTCAGCCTGAGGTATCAAAACTACTGAAATTTTCTTACGAGACAATATTTTGAATAAAAAGAGGACATGCTGGCTATCTAGATTGATGGGGACAAATTTTTGTTGTCATTGTATTGCAATGTTGCTGTCATTTGTATTATACAATCCATCCTGACATCAAAATATTGCTGATTTACTATGCGGCTATATAGATTTACATAATAAAGTGCAAATATGGTCAGTTTTGGTTGATACTTTAAAATAGTTTTGTTATATGAGTCAGCCTGAGGTATCAAAACTACTGAAATTTTCTTGTGACACAATATTTTGAATAAAAAGAGGACATGCTGGCAATCTAGATTGATGGGAACAAATTTTTGTTGTCATTGTGTTGCAATGATGCTGTCATTTGTATAATGCAATCCATTCTCACAACAAAATATTGCTGATTTACCATGCGGCTATATAGATTTACATAATAATAAAATGCAAATATGGTCAGTTTTGGTTGATTCGTTTAAATAATTATGTTATACGAGTCAGCCTGAGGTATCAAAACTACTGAAATTTTGTTGCATGACAATATTTTGAATAAAAAGAGGACATGCTGGCTATCTAGATTGATTGGAATAAATTTTTGTTGTCATTGTATTGCAATGTTGCTGTCATTTCTATTATACAATCCATCCTGACATCAAAATATTGCTGATTTACTATGTGGCTATATAGATATACATAATAATGTGCAAATATGGTCAGTTTTTGTTGATGCGTTTAAATAATTTTGTTATACTAGTCAGCCTTAGGTATCAAAATAACTGAAATTTTGTTGCGAGACAATATTTTGAATAAAAAGAGGACATGCTGGCAATCTTAATTGATGGGGATAATTTTTGATGTCATTGTGTTGCAATGTTGCTGTCATTTGTATTATACAATCCATTCTGACAATAAAACATAGCTGCTTTACTATGTGGCTATATAGATATACATAATATTAAAAGTGCAAATATGGTCAGTTTTGGTTGATGCTGTAAAATAATTTTGTTATACAAGTCAGCCTGAGGTATCAAAACTACTGAAATTTTCATACGAGACAATATTTTGAATAAAAAGAGGACATGCTGGCTATCTAGATTGATGGGGACAAATTTTTGTTGTCATTGTATTGCAATGTTGCTGTCATTTGTATTATAAAATCCATCCTGACATCAAAATATTGCTGATTTACTATGCGGCTATATAGATTTACATAATAAAGTGCAAATATGGTCAGTTTTGGTTGATACTTTAAAATAGTTTTGTTATATGAGTCAGCCTGAGGTATCAAAACTACTGAAATTTTCTTGTGACACAATATTTTGAATAAAAAGAGGACATGCTGGCAATCTAGATTGATGGGAACAAATTTTTGTTGTCATTGTGTTGCAATGTTGCTGTCATTTGTATAATGCAATCCATTCTGACAACAAAATACTGCTGATTTACTATGCGGCTATATAGATTAACATAATAATAAAATGCAAATATGGTCAGTTTTGGTTGATTCGTTTAAATAATTATGTTATACGAGTCAGCCTGAGGTATCAAAACTACTGAAATTTTGTTGCGAGACCATATTTTAATTAAAAAGAGGACATGCTGGCTATCTAAATTGATGGGTATATTTTTTGTCGTCATTGTGTTGCAATGTTGCTGTCATTTGTATTATACAATCCATTCTGACATCAAAATATTGCTGATTTACTATGAGGCTATATAGATTTACATGATAAAGTGCAAATATGGTCAGTTTTGGTTGATGCTTTAAAATAATTTTGTTATACGAGTCAGCCTGAGGTATCAAAACTACTGAAATTTTCTTGCGAGACAATATTTTGAATAAAAGAGGTCATGCTGGCTATCTAGATTGATCAGGACAAATTTTTGTTGTCATTGTATTGCACTGTTGCTGTCATTTGTGTTATACAATCCATCCTGACAACAAGATATTGCTGATTTACTATGTGGCTTTATAGATATACATAATAAAGTGCAATTATGGTCAGTTTTTGTTGATGCGTTAAAATAATTTTGTTATACGAGTCAACCTGAGGTATCAAAACTACTGAAATTTTGTTGCGAGACAATATATTGAATAAAAAGAGGACATGCTGGCAATCTAGATTGATGGGGACAAATTTTTGTCATTGTACATGTTGTTTTGAAATGTTGCTGTCATTTGTATTATACAATCCACCCTGACATCAAACTATTGCTGGTTTACTATGCGGCTATATAGATCTATATAATAAAGTGAAAATATTATGGTCAGTTTTGGTTGATGAGTTAAATAATTTTGTTATATGAGTCAGCCTGAGGTATCAAAATTACTGAAATTTTGTAGCGAGACAATATTTTTAATAAAAGGAGGGCAAAAATATTTCCAAATTGTTTAACCCTATATAAATTAACAGATTGACACACTCCCCATTTCCATATTCAATTTTATAATTATAAGTGCAAATATGGTCAGTTTTGGTTGATGCTTAAAATAATTTTGTTGTACATGTTGTACATGTACCAGTCATCCTGAAGTATTCATTTTTGGCATTGTTTGTCGATTTTATCTGAAAACCAAGTTTATAAGATTTACGATACATGTTAAAACCGATAATAATAGCATTGTAACCAATATCGTTTTTAATTTATAGATAGGCAGATCGCGGATAAATTTGCATTACAAGCAAAGTACGTTTTATGCGTACTTTATTTACAAATACATGTATATATATTTAATCTGTATAGTTTATATAAACATCATAGGCATGACCACGGAGATTTTAATTTTATACATTAATTTACAATATTGTGATCAAAATTCGTTTTTTAAATCAAATAAATAATTTTGTAGTCGCACGCTATCTTTGAAATTTAATTGCATTATGGGTAATTTTGGATCGTGTAGATAGAATGGGGAATGGTGTATGGTGTAATGTGTAAGGTGTATGGTGCAAAGGTGTAACGTGTATGGTGTAATGGCACAAGGTGTATGGTGTAATGGTGTATGGTGAATGGTGTAATGGTGTATGGTGTGAGTGGGAAGTTTACACCATCCAAGGACTGTACAAATATTACTGATTTACTATGCGACTATAAGATTTACATAATAAAGTGCAAATATTGTCTGTTTTGGTTGATGCGGACAAATAATTTTGTAATACAAGTCAGTCTAAGGTATGAAAACTACTGAAATTTGTTAACGAATCAATATTCCAAATAAAAAGAGGACATGCTGGCACTCTTAATTGATGCGAACAAAATTTTTAGTCATTGTGTTCCAATATTGCTGTCATTTGTATTAAACAGTTCATCCTGATATCAAAATATAACTCATTTACTATGCGGCTACACAGATTTGCATGATAAAGTGCAAATAGGGTCAGTTTTGATTGAAGTGGTCAAATAAGGTCAGTTTTGGTTGATGCGGAAAAATAATTGTGTTATACAAGTCAGCCTGAGGTATCAAAACTACTGAAATTTTCTTACGAGACAATATTTTGAATAAAAAGAGGACATGCTGGCTATCTAGATTGATGGGGACAAATTTTTGTTGTCATTGTATTGCAATGTTGCTGTCATTTGTATTATACAATCCATCCTGACATCAAAATATTGCTGATTTACTATGCGGCTATATAGATTTACATAATAAAGTGCAAATATGGTCAGTTTTGGTTGATACTTTAAAATAGTTTTGATATATGAGTCAGCCTGAGGTATCAAAACTACTGAAATTTTCTTGTGACACAATATTTTGAATAAAAAGAGGACATGCTGGCAATCTAGATTGATGGGAACAAATTTTTGTTGTCATTGTGTTGCAATGTTGCTGTCATTTGTATAATGCAATCCATTCTGACAACAAAATATTGCTGATTTACCATGCGGCTATATAGATTTACATAATAATAAAATGCAAATATGGTCAGTTTTGGTTGATTCGTTTAAATAATTATGTTATACGAGTCAGCCTGAGGTATCAAAACTACTGAAATTTTCTTGTGACACAATATTTTGAATAAAAAGAGGACATGCTGGCAATCTAGATTGATGGGAACAAATTTTTGTTGTCATTGTGTTGCAATGTTGCTGTCATTTGTATAATGCAATCCATTCTCACAACAAAATATTGCTGATTTACTATGCGGCTATATAGATTTACATAATAATAAAATGCAAATATGGTCAGTTTTGGTTGATTCGTTTAAATAATTATGTTATACGAGTCAGCCTGAGGTATCAAAACTACTGAAATTTTGTTGCGAGACCATATTTTAATTAAAAAGAGGACATGCTGGCTATCTAAATTGATGGGTATATTTTTTGTCGTCATTGTGTTGCAATGTTGCTGTCATTTGTATTATACAATCCATTCTGACATCAAAATATTGCTGATTTACTATGAGGCTATATAGATTTACATGATAAAGTGCAAATATGGTCAGTTTTGGTTGATGCTTTAAAATAATTTTGTTATACGAGTCAGCCTGAGGTATCAAAACTACTGAAATTTTCTTGCGAGACAATATTTTGAATAAAAGAGGTCATGCTGGCTATCTAGATTGATCAGGACAAATTTTTGTTGTCATTGTATTGCACTGTTGCTGTCATTTGTGTTATACAATCCATCCTGACAACAAGATATTGCTGATTTACTATGTGGCTTTATAGATATACATAATAAAGTGCAAATATGGTCAGTTTTTGTTGATGCGTTAAAATAATTTTGTTATACGAGTCAACCTGAGGTATCAAAACTACTGAAATTTTGTTGCGAGACAATATATTGAATAAAAAGAGGACATGCTGGCAATCTAGATTGATGGGGACAAATTTTTGTCATTGTACATGTTGTTTTGCAATGTTGCTGTCATTTGTATTATACAATCCACCCTGACATCAAAATATTGCTGATTTACTATGCGGCTATATAGATCTATATAATAAAGTGAAAATATTATGGTCAGTTTTGGTTGATGAGTTAAATAATTTTGTTATATGAGTCAGCCTGAGGTATCAAAATTACTGAAATTTTGTAGCGAGACAATATTTTTAATAAAAGGAGGGCAAAAATATTTCCAAATTTTTTAACCCTATATAAATTAACAGATTGACACACTCCCCATTTCCATATTCAATTTTATAATTATAAGTGCAAATATGGTCAGTTTTGGTTGATGCTTAAAATAATTTTGTTGTACATGTTGTACATGTACCAGTCATCCTGAAGTATTCATTTTTGGCATTGTTTGTCGATTTTATCTGAAAACCAAGTTTATAAGATTTACGATACATGTTAAAACCGATAATAATAGCATTGTAACCAATATCGTTTTTAATTTATAGATAGGCAGATCGCGGATAAATTTGCATTACAAGCAAAGTACGTTTTATGCGTACTTTATTTACAAATACATGTATATATATTTAATCTGTATAGTTTATATAAACATCATAGGCATGACCACGGAGATTTTAATTTTATACATTAATTTACAATATTGTGATCAAAATTCGTTTTTTAAATCAAATAAATAATTTTGTAGTCGCACGCTATCTTTGAAATTTAATTGCATTATGGGTAATTTTGGATCGTGTAGATAGAATGGGGAATGGTGTATGGTGTAATGTGTAAGGTGTATGGTGCAAAGGTGTAACGTGTATGGTGTAATGGCACAAGGTGTATGGTGTAATGGTGTATGGGGAATGGTGTAATGGTGTATGGTGTGAGTGGGAAGTTTACACCATCCAAGGACTGTACAAATATTACTGATTTACTATGCGACTATAAGATTTACATAATAAAGTGCAAATATTGTCTGTTTTGGTTGATGCGGACAAATAATTTTGTAATACAAGTCAGTCTAAGGTATGAAAACTACTGAAATTTGTTAACGAATCAATATTCCAAATAAAAAGAGGACATGCTGGCACTCTTGATTGATGCGAACAAAATTTTTAGTCATTGTGTTCCAATATTGCTGTCATTTGTATTATACAGTTCATCCTGATATCAAAATATAACTCATTTACTATGCGGCTACACAGATTTGCATGATAAAGTGCAAATAGGGTCAGTTTTGATTGAAGTGGTCAAATAAGGTCAGTTTTTGGTTGATGCGGAAAAATAATTTTGTTATACGAGTCAGTCTGAGATATCAAAACTACTGAAATTGTTTACGATTCAATATTTTGAATGAAAAGAGAACATGCTGGCACTCTAAATTGATGCGAACAAAATTCTGTAGTCATTGTGTTCTAATATTGCTGTCATTTGTATTATACAGTTCATCCTAGCATAAAAATATAACTGATTTACTATGCGTCTATATAGATTTACTTGATAAAGCGAAATATGGTCAGTTTTGATTGAAGTGGTCAAATATGGTCAGCTTTGGTTGATGCAGTCTAAGAATTTTATTATAAGAGATAACAAAACAACTGAAATGTGTTTAAGATTCAATATTTTGAATAAAAGAGGACATGTTTGAACTTTAAACTGATTCGGAAAATTGTTTGTAGTCATTGTGTTCCAATATTGCTGTCATTTGTATTATATAATCCCTCCTGACATAAAAATATAACTGATTTACTATGCGGCTATATAGATTTACATAATAAAGAGCAAATATGGTCAGTTTTGGTTGATGCAGTCAAATAATTTTGTTAAACGAGGCATCCTTAATTATCAAAACTACTGAAATTGGTTCACAATTCAATATTTAGAAAAACAAGAGGACATGCTGGCACTCTAAATTGAAGCGGAATATTTTTTGTAATCATTGTGTTCCAATATTGCTGTCATCTTTCTTATACAATCTGTCCTGACATAAAAATATTACTGATTTACTATGAGACTATAAGATTAACATACTGAAGTGCATATATGGTCAGTTTTGGTTGATGCGGACAGATAAATTTGTTATACGAGTGAGTCTGAGGTATACAAACTACTGATATTTGTTTGCGATTCAATATTTTGAATATAAAGAGGACATGCTGGCACTCTTAATTGATGCGAACACAATGTTGTAGTCATTGTGTTCCAATATTGCTGTCATTTGTATTATACAATCAATCCTTACATGATAATATTACTGATTTACTATGCGACTATAAGATTTACATAATAAAGTGCAAATATGGTCTGTTTTTGTTAATGCGGACAAATAATTTTGTTATACATGTCAGTCTGAGATATCTAAACTACTGAAATTTGTTAACGATTCAATATTTTGAATAAAAAGTGGTCATGCTGGCACTTTAAATTGATGCGAACAAATGTTTTGTATTCATTGTGTTCCAATATTGCTGTCATTTTTATTATACAGTCCATCCTGACATACAAATATAACTGACTTACTATGCGACTATAAGATTTACATTATGAAGTGTAAAATGGTCAGTTTTGGTTGATGCAGACAAATAATTTTGTTATACTGAAATATGTTTACGATTAAATATTTTGAATAAAAAGAGGACATGCTGGCACTCTAAATTGATGAAAAAAAAATAGTATTTATTGTGTTCCAATATTGCTGTCATTTGTATTATACAGTCCATCCTATCAGTCTGAGATGTGAAAACTGTTGGATTTTGGTGATGATTAAATTATTTGAATAAAAGAAGGACATGCTTGAACTTTTTATTTGTAAAGAAAAAGACATTTACTATGATTGATTTTCAATTAATTAAAGAGATGTAATAACATTATTAATTAACTGCTATCGTCAATATGTCAATCGAAAATGACCAGTTGGTCATCTAATTTTGATGTACCTTATCATTTGATATTTAAGGTCAATGTATACAGGATACGATGACAATCTGCGTTAACGCGCGTTAACTTCAAACAGTAAACGCGCGTTTACTTTTGACGAAAATAGAAGACGCGCCTTTTTTTCACGTTAACGCGGAAGTAAACGTGAAAGTAAACGCCCGTTTACTCTTTACAAAATTATAAGACGCGCCGTTTTTGCGTTAACGCGGAGGTAAACGCAAAAGTAAACGACCGTTTACTTTTTATATCTACTGCAATTTCGGAGTTAACGCACAGTTAACGCGGCGTTTACATGAAGTGTCCGCGAGTTAACGCCGCGTTAACTGTTTCCGCCCGTCTACATGTAATGCTTGGTCTGCACCCAACTGTAGGACAATCCCTGATGATGGTGGGCCTATATAATAATATTTTATGCATCATATAGAAAAATACCGCCGAAACACTAGAGTAGTGTAGGATTGATGCAAACATTAAATTTACAAATAGCATACATTACTTTGTACTAAAGTACTTTGGTACTGGCATGAAAATTACGGATTTTATTTTATCAAAAGTTTCTGTTACAAAATTTGGGAAATTATTAAAAATTAAGGAATGTATCTCTATCATGCAAAGCTCTGATTCCTTGCCAAGCTTTGGCTATACCTGTTGGTCCTTTTTTGTTTATAGCTCTTCATATTATTAATAAGCTTTGGATTTTCAAATATTTTGGCCTCGAGCATCACTGAAGAGACATTGATTGTCGAAATGCGCATCTGGTGCAGAAAAAATTGGTACCGTTTCTGTTATTACTGATACAAATATGATAATTTGTTATCAGAAGGAACCCATCTCTTTATAGACATTATTATAGATTATGTGATAGAATAATTGTAGGACATTTATTAA